AAAGGCCACATGTGGCCCCAAGGCTGCAGGTTCTCCACTCCAGGTTTAAAGTGCTGGACTAGATATTAAGAAGATCTAACTTTAGATATGTGAACTAGAAAAATTTACTTAACCTATAGGTACATCACTTTCTACATCTATAAAATAGTCATAATAGTGCTGTATTCCCTACCACTCAGGGTTACAGTAAGGTTCAAAGAAGATGTAAAATATAAGATATACAAAGTAATTTGCAAACTCTCTACCACCTACGATAAACTATTCTTTTCTATTCTTTCCTGTCCTGTGCTATGCCATGCTATGTTATTCTATTCTATTGGTTAGACTATATGAATAGGTGATAATATGTTATGTTACATTATATCACATTATATATGACCATTATAATCATGTATCAAAAATATTTACTGAACATATACTAATATGGACAGCATCATCTTAGGCTAAGTGGAGGAAACAGAAGAATATAAAACATGCTCCCTGCCCTCAAGAAGCTTAAAAGTCCCACTCAGATTTGACCTTTATGAGGTCTTTTCTGATTATCTTTTGGGTCATGGACTTGGGATCATGTTCTGATTATGGGCTCTGATTATTACGTATTTTAGATTTTTCTATTGGTACCTTATCCCTGTCCCCTCCCCCTTTACTGGATTGTAAGATCCTAGGGGTTAGGGTCAGTGAAACTTATCTAAACTTTGTATCTTCCCCAGCACCCAGAATATAGTTGAATTTCCATAAATATAGTTGTACTTTTTATGTTGTATGTTAGCACTGCATCTCTACATTCATAGTGTGAAGAAAAGTTTTAAGGACAATCTGTAACATTTGCAGAGTTGATTGGCACCAACAAAAGTTTGATTCCTGTATGCTCTCATTTGTTCTCATAATTAATACTATAGGAAATCCTCCCAAGTGACCCCAAATATATATTGCACACACTTTGACTATATGTATGACATCATATGCATACACACACACACACACACACACACACACACACATATATATGACTACAAATAAATATGCCTTCTTATGGTCATATACGTGATTTTTGCACATATACATACATATACAGAAATTGGAGGCAGTCAACTAGCAAGAATATTATCCTTTAGATTGTGTAGGCTATATGATCACATCATTGCCATATTTCATTGTGCTTTAAATTTTAATGTTGAAAATATGCTATAAACCTTAAAGCACTAAAGAAGAATAAATTATTATTGTCAGGATAAACAAACATTCTAAACTTTCCTGGTTAGCACATGTCGTCTAGAGCTAAGTTGTTGTAAGATCCTAAATAGGTCATCCCTCTATTTCTCCAGTGTTTGAGCTATTTTACACTTTGAAGTGATCATGCCTGGCATGAAGGTTCCCCTTTCATTTATTGGATTTACTAATATTTGCTGACTAGATTAAAAATAACACATATAAAGACCAATGATGTGACTATTGTCTGAAGTGTTATTTCTGCTCTTAGGAGTCTTGGGGAGGTACATGCATTGGGTCTGGGTGGGGGGCAGGTTACTCTAAACTGATCACCAGAGGTAGACAAGATGATCAGGCACAATGCCACCTTTTGGAGTTCAGAGGGTTGACTTGGGGGCATCCACAGAGACACTAATCCCAGTGTGGGCAACAGCACCTTCATCAAAGGCCTGCCTACAGCTGCAGGAAGCCACACAGCAATGCCAGCTCTTTGATCTACTTAATACTTCCCATTGGTTCAGGGTTTGGGCTGCCATTGTATGATCCCCCCTTAAAATAAAAGGGACCTTTCTGTTGTTTGTTTCTAAATAGATTTTTCTTAAATCCCAGGATTATGCCAAACTATGTTTCAGAATCAAACAACACTGAATTTATAAGAAGAGCATGAACTATATCATTGTTGTCTCTATATTCATATCTATTATACGTAGAATAATCCATTTCAGCTTCCTTCCCTCCAAGTCTCCATTAAGTCCCAGGTGAGGAGGAGTAGGAAGGGAGATGGCTAAAGAAATGGTAGAAGGAGATAATTTATAACTAGGGATGACCTGGCCATATGTATCTTCGTTGCATAACATTCCAATCATGGCATTTACAATATATACAAAGAGAGATGAATGTCATGTTAATAAATTGCCCTGAACTTTGAAATATGGTATAGCTTTTAGAGCAATGGACTTAGCATCAGGAAGAGTTGTGTTTGAATCCTGTCTTAGACATTTAGTTAACTTTGTGACCCTGGGCAAGACACTTAACCACTTTTGTACTGTTTCCTCATTTAACAAATGGGGACAATAATAACGCCTAATTCACAAAGTTATTAAGTGCATTAAATGACAAAATGGGTAAAGCATTTTACGAATTTTAGCATGCCTTATAAATGCTAGTGTTGTTGATGATGATGCTGATGCTGATGATGCATTATACAATGTGCTCTTAAAACAAACTTTCAGCAAGGAAAAAAATGCTTTTGACATTTGTAAGTAGAATTCAAAAGGGAGGAAAAAAACCCATTACCAACAACAACCAAAACCCCCTTCTTTAGCTATTCTATTTTGCAGATTTCACATTAATTTCCTCATACCTTAGGAGATTCAATCATTTGCCTGATGATCCTTTCTAATATTTGTAAAACCCAATGACTTTTAGCAACATGTTCCATGACCCTCTGCTATGCTCTTAGAATATTAAAAAAATGAATGAGTTAAGCCATGTGCTTTCTAATTTTATAATGTATCCAAGTAAAGATATGTAATTGAATCAAAGATAAACCCACTGAGGCATCCATGATGTTTTTTTTCCATGGCTAGCTGAAATGACGCTTTCTCAATATCCCTTATTGCCACAGAGACATAGAAACCTGTATTTGTATGGGAAGAGTAGTGACTTTTAAGAGGAAATTATCCTGTCAAATATGGGAAACCATTAGGTGCTCCCTGAATGGATCTTTTGAACAGTTTAAATCATTCCTACCAAAGATAAGACTGTTTAGTGTAGATGTTATAGTTATCATGACTGACTAAATAGTTAACATTTTGAGTCATTCTAATGAGTTTTGCCTAAGCAAATATAATGCCAAGAGAGCTGTTATATGATAGTGTAGTCCTGTGCATATCTACTGCCAAAAGTAATTTTATACCTGCTTATTAACACTTTAATTTTAATTATAGCAGAAAAAATATAACTAAAGAGTAGTGTATATGTGTATGTATGTATATGTATATATACCTATATATTTGTATATATGTACATATGAGCAGTTGGTGCTCAGTGGATAAACTTCTGCTTGGAGTCAGGAAGAACCGAGTTTAAATATGGCCTCAGATACTTACTAGCTGTGTGACCTTGAGCAAGTCATACCTGTTTGCCTCAGTTTCCTCATCTGTAAAATGGGCTAGAGAAGATGGCACACTACTCTAGTATCTTTAAGAGGAAAACCTCAAATGGGTTCATGAAGAGTCAGCCATGACTGAAATGACTGAAAAATCACAAGACCTGTATGTATTTTGTGATGTAACTACTGATTAGAAATGTAGAAACAGGTGATGATAAAAGTAGCTGAACATTATCATATGTAATATGATGGAAAACTTTTATTAAAAGCTTGGTGAGAACCACATATTCGGAGTTATATATGCTTGGCATATAAAAACTGTATAATGATCTCATTCACATTTAATGAACCTTAGGCTTTTGTCACATATAATTAATTTTATAATTTTTTCATTTAAATCCATCTTTTTGTAGCAACAAATCAAGAAAATATACTTGATAATTTGGATTATGTGTATATATTCATGTATTTATATTTGTTAGGTATCATATACATGAATATATTTCAAATGACAAAGTGTATATATATATATGTATATATATATATATATATATATTACATAAGGGTATGTGTACACATACATGCACACATATATGCATGTCCACAATGCATGCATACGCATGCATATGTGTATATATACACACATATGTACATATACAGACATATATGTGTAAATGTGTGTGTGTTCCTTTGTTCCTAGCTTCTATTTCTTTTATGTGGTCTTCTGGCTTTCACTTCCTCTCTGTGTGTGTATGTGTGTGTATGTATATACACATACATACATACATACATACATATACATACATATGTGTGTGACACACACACACATACATACACACACATACACAAACGGTCTATGTGACCCAAATCTCATAAGCACTTTTATTTAAAATCCAATTAGAAAAAATAGCACTCTGCTAGTTAGTATTAAACTAATAGGAATGTTGGATATCAATCCATAACACTAATTGGATTGTAATCAATATAGATTGCTTAATATATAATTGACACTGAATTTAGATTTGACTCTGTAGTATTTTGTTAGAGATTTCATGGAATCATGGAGTTTGTGAGCTGGAAGGGAACCTTGATGATCACCTATTTCTACCCATAAGCTGAAAAATATTGCAATACTGGAAAAAGAATTTGCTCTACAATATATCCAACCAATTGGTCTTCTTTCCTTGAGGCCTTACACTGAGGGAGAACCCACAACATCCAGAAGTGCTCCATCTCACTTTGAGACAGCTTGAGTCTCAAACAGAGGAAGTTTTTCCTAATATTAATTAATTGGCCTCTTTGTAACTTCCCTCCATTTTACCTAGTTCTGGTTTTGGGGGCCTAATAGAACAAGTCTTGTTTTTCTGCCAATGGAAAGCTATTATGTTTTTTTTCCCTCCCACCTTATAAAACTTCCAAAAATGAAAAACAAATAAATGGCACCCCCAATTGTCTAATTTCTTTTTTCAGAAAATGGAGACTTTAATGAAGATAAACTCTTTGTCTATAAGGGTTAGAAAACACCTATCCTGTGTGGGAGAGATTTGAAAGTTGAATGTGTATGAGAGAAAAACAATATCCACATTCACTAATTTAATCCCCAGGCAGTGAAATAATATTGAAATATTTTTTTTCACTGGGAGAATACAGTGCCACGACATGTTGTGCTTTTTTACAGAGCTGATGTATACAGTTGAACTTGCTGGTGGGTTGGGTGCCATTCTGCTGCTGCTTGTATGTTTGGTGACAGTCTACAAGTGTTACAAGATTGATATCATGCTCTTCTATCGGAATCATTTTGGAGCAGAAGAAATTGATGGAGGTAAGAGATTCTTCATAGTTTATTTTATTTTTACCTTAATATTCTTGTTGTTTATATCCTCCAAATTTGTGTAAGCACGCACACACATATACACATATGGATCTATTGTTCCTGTAACAGAAGAAGAATTATCTAACAGTGGCTTTCTTAATTGTTCTAAGATCATTTGGTAAAAACCATCCTTTCTCTTCAGTTACATACAGTCTGTGAAGATGTGGGATCAGATAAGCCTCTCCAAATAGAAACATGACACCAACATCTTTTACAATTTGAGTCAGAATACTACATGCCCATTACAACCACAAATTGTGATTCAGAGGACAGCCTTCAGCTTCCATCACCCTGTAATTTATATTGAAAGGCCAGCTTTATGTCCTCATGAGCAAGAAGTGTCTCTTCTAATTGTGTTCCCAAATACATAGGTAGAAGTGAATCTTCATTTGCTCCTTGTTTAAGCTGATCAGTTTCAATAAACTGTTCTGAGTATTTTCAAATTTACTCCAGTCAGTGAGATCTTTTCTTTCTAACTTAACTCTTTTCAGCTAGGGCTAATGCAGATTTAAATCGTGTTCCTGAAAATATGGAGGGTAAAAGCAGAAGTATTAAATAATAGTGAAGATAGTGTTTTTCTTAGAGTGGAATAAATGTATATACTTTTTTTGGTAAACGAATCCTAAATTAACTCCTAATTAGTGACTCATCTGAATAGGGAATGTAGCACAGTACTTTGGGCACACATTACATGGTCAGCCAATGTTTGTTAAATTGAAGCTATTTCATTGGATAAATCTGAATGAATTTTCAGTACTTAAAATTAAGGCATCTGATCTATTTGATGGCTTAAGGGTAATTTAATTTTAACACTCCAAGTTCTCATTACGAATACAAGTTAAACGTCCCATTTTGAGAAAGGTATTTATTGACAAAATAGAGTTGAAACAATACATCAGTAGGTATGTTATAGAGAAATCAGCCACATATAAGTTTCTACCAGCATTTAATTATTATTCTATCAGCACTAAAAATTCTACCATTGTTACTTTTGGCAAGTCATTTAACCTCCCTGAGCCTCAGTTTCCCCATCTATAAAGTGAGGGTGAAATTAGATGGCCTCTAAAGTCCCTTCCTCCCCTAGATCTATGAGCTGCTCTGGGTGGAAATATTTCACATATATACAGTGTTATGTATTATTTCTTCACAATAATTCTAGGTAATAAAATTATTATCCCCAGTTTTATATATAAAGAACCAAACACTCAGAAAGATAAAATTGTTGGACCATAGTCACATGCTCTTAAAAACTATCAGAGATGATTCAGACCCAAATCTTGTGTCTAAATCCAGTGTTCACTCTAACATACCCCACTGCTTCCCATGGCTGCCTAGAGGTAAGGTTGTCACTGACAAGGGGTGTCCATATAACTGAATTAGAAGGCCTTCAAACCAGTGCGAGGAAGCAAGATTTCAAAAATGTTTCTGTTACTCAATATGTAAAGACATGTAGAATCTCAAGGGCAGAGCTCTCTTAATTCTGGATTTTGACCTCAACCCCTCTCCAAACTTAAGGTTCTAACATCTTCGTATCAGAGTTGAAACAAAGGAAATGTTGAATACTGGTTGACTGAATACCAATATACAAATTGTTCCACAAATAAGTTAAAAGATAATTTGTTCAACTGAAGTATAAAAATGAAGTTCCCAAAATCAAAAGAGATATAGTCTAGTAGCCAGATAGGGAAAAAAATGGTTTTGCATTTAGGCATTATCTACATCAAACAAGGAAAATGGGATTCATCTGTGCAATTAAATTTAATTCAGTTTTAGGTTAAAAAAAATAAAGCACTTTTTCACAGAATCAGGGGGTGGGAAGCACCTCTAAAGTCATTTTTGCCTAAACAGAAATTTTCTCTAAAAGATTCCTGATATGTGTTCTTCTGGTTTCCATTTGAAGACTTCCAGTGATGATTAACTCACTACTACATAAAATTTCTAATTTCACTTTTAGACTGCTATGAACATTGAAAAGTTTTTTTCTAACATAAAGTTAATTTTACATCTCTTCAGCTTTCATCCATCACTCCATATTCTATTCTCTAGGTCAAAACAGAACAAACTTTATCTCTCTTTCACATAACAGCCCTTTAACTGCTAGACTGCTATAGCCCTCTAGCTCCTCAAGTATTCTTTAATGTATCTATAGACAGATATATATAGATAGATAGATAGATAGATAGATAGATAGATAGATAGATAGATAAATAGATGGCCTCAGTTCATTTAACTGATCTTTGGGTGGTGGAGAGTCTCCATGATTTTTCTCTTTTTTCTCTTCCTTTGAATCTTCTCTTTATATTTCTCCTTCTAACACTGGAGATCATTTTGTTTATAACTATACTCTTATTATCCTGCCCATCCTCTTGGGCCTTTCTATAACCTTCTTTTGTCCCTATCTCCTATTTATTTTATGAGTTTAATGTTTCTATTTTTAGTTTCATCTGTGTGTTGTAGTAAATCTTTATTCAGATGAAACTGAGGCTTATGGCTTTGGCAGGTTGTACTGTGATATCTTCTCCAAGAACACCCCAAACTCACTCTTTTTAAACCATTAAGTAAGCTCTGCATTGGTTATACGTGGGGCGCTGGTACTTTATGGATCTCAGATAGTGAGAACTGAAGCTGTCTTGAAGTTTCCTTCAAGTTTTACTCAGCCTTCTGAGCTTGGCTTTCAACCTGCCCTGGCAGCTTCTCTATTCCACTGTCTCTACAAGAATCTGAACACCTCTCTGGAATCCTGGGCTGGGGAACAGAGTCTAGAGATGATAATTTAAATGACCAAGTAGAAAGGGCATCTCTGTGCTCAGATGGAGTGTTTGTGAGAGGATATTTGGAATCCTGTCCATCTTAGTGATTTGCCATCATACCGCATCCCACCCCCCACTTAATGATTTTTCAAATGGTAATTGAGAAGTTATTTCACAATTTTTCTTATTACCTTGGGATATAGTTCATCTGGCCTTGGATACTTGAATTCATTGAAGGCAACTGATTTTTTTTATTATTAAAAAGAAATTATTAAAAATAATACCAAGTCTTAAGATCAATCTCCTTGCTATAAACAAAAGCAACATAATATTTGAGTAATTTTCCCTTTTCGTCATTTTAACAACCCTGATATTTCTATGCCTCTTTCATCTTTTTGTGTCCCTAACATAGCTTTTCAAAAGTAATTTTTTGTTGTTTTTGTGCTTAGCATTCACCACAAGTCCCAGCACATTCTGTCTGAAACACTCCTGATTCATACCACACTTTTGTATTGATTCTTAATACTTGCTTTTATTTCTGTCTTCTGTATATAACTTAAAAATCTATATTGATAGGTGGTTTTTTGATGTACCCATATTGTACTCATTAGATTCTTCTCCATTTTCTTTGTGTTCAGTATTATATGTTTCTGTGGTCACAATTTTGCCGTTGAGAGCATCATTGGCCCTACTGGGCCAATTTTCCATACAGAATTACAGACCATGATATCCTGCATATCCTTTTTTTTTGAGTTCTTACAACTCTGATTACCCCATATCTAGGTTGTGCTGTAGAGACTGTCTGGTTTTATTCTCCTTGCATGGTCATTTCATTCAAAGCATCATATTACTTCTTTAGAAATAAGTTTCTTAGGGTGGAGCCAAGATGGTGGAAAGAAGGCAGTGACTTGCATAAGCCCTCCCCTAAAACCCACAAAGACTTTTAAATAATGACCTAAACCAAATCCTGGAATGGCAGAACCCACAAAAAGATGGGGTAGAACAATTTTTCCATCCCAAAACAACTTAAAAGTTTGGCAGGAAAGATCTGTCACACTGGGGTGAGAGTGGAATGGTACCCAGTGCATGCTATGCCAGTGCAGACAGGGCCCTAGCAAACCAGCAGCTACAGCGGCTGCTTCTGGAGCTCTCAATCCACAGACAGGAAGGAGATCAAACAACTGGTCAGAAGGAGATTACAGGGGTCTCTTTGATGACAATGGGGACAGGACTCTGTTGATTTGCCTATACTCAGAACAAGTTTGCAGTCCAAGGGCAAGAAGGAGCACTAGCATATCAGAGTTTGTAGCCACAGTGGAACAGGTGCCCTCATCACAGTTCCAGAGCAGAAAAGAGTACTTGTTGTCACTCACAGACCAGAGCACAGGCCAGGAAATTAGTAAGCACACCTCTCTTTAGGTCATACTACTTTAGAAAACCTGAAAACTTACAGGTCTCTAGAGGTATCTCTGAAAACAACTTCACAAAAACCCTGAAAGCAGAACCATACTTTAGCAAAGATTTAAAAGTTAAGAAATAGGCTGGGAAAATGAGCAAACAACAGGAAAAAATTCTGACCATAGAAAGTTACTATGGTGACTAGGAATATCAAAACACACACTCAGAAAAAGATAGCAAAGTCAAAATTCCTACATCCAAAACCTCCAAAAAATTTTGAAATAGTTTCAGGACATGGAAGAGCTCAAAAAGGATTTTGAAAATCAAGTAAGAAACATGGAGGAAAAAAAGGAGAGAGAAATAAGAATGATGCAAGAAAATCATCAAAAAGAATCAACAGCTTGATAAAGAAGGCAAAAAAAAAACTGAAAAAATAACACCTTAAAAAAAATGGGCCAAATGGTAAGAGGTACAAAAACCCAATGAGGAGAAGAATGCCTTTAAAATCAGAATTGGTCAAATGGAAATAGACATAGAAAAAATTCACTGAAGAAATGAATTCATTAAAAACTAGAATCAACCAAATGGAAAAGGAGGTGTAAAATCTCACTGAACAAAATAATTTCCTAAAAATTAGAATTGAACAAGTGGAAGCTAATGACTCTATGAGACATCATGAAACAATAGATCAAAACCAAAAGAATGAAAAAAATAGAAGACACTGTGAAATATTTTATTAGAAATGCAACTGATCTGGAAAATAAGTCCAGGATAGATAATTAAAAAAAAATATTAGACTTT